GAGAGAGGTTAACTCGAGCAGTTACCACAACTTTGCTAGTTCCTTCTACATCCTTGGTTAGTATATATACTATTTACCCATCCCGATATGAAGAAATTATAAGCATCGATTGGCTTCTAAGCCTTCATTTCTTGCCCGGTTTTCCACGAGGTTTGGATGACCAGGTAGTTTACGAATATCGGGAAATGTAAAACTTGGATAATCAGCTACATCCTCGCAGTAATCGGTTTTTTTTTTTTTAACGAGTAGGGATCGAAACCACCTATATGTACGTTTTCACGATATCTGGCCTTCGTAGGACCGGTCAAAGTTAAATAATACTCGGAAAATGAGGTAGAACCGCAAGAATTCACAAGCGCGGACGCCATTGTGTCGCTTTGTTTATCCCACCAGCTGAAGGTTTAGTGGCGTGACGCCATGGCTTTTTTGTCACGTGGTTGAAAACGACGAATAAGCGAAACTCAGAAATTCACGCGATATGGTCGATTGTCGAAGTGATCAAATAGAAACGGCAACTCACGTCTTTAAACTTAATCCTCCCGCCGAAGATGTCAGTCAGTCTTTCAGGAAGCTGTGTGATTTTAAATAATTACTAACCTGTTCTGTAGCCAGCCGCAGATGCGATCTCAGCGAATGTTGTTTCATTTGGAGGCAGACCGCCTGAAGCCGAACTATAAATAAAGACCCTCATCTGGCCTTTGCTTGCAGCAAGGCCAGATCGAATGGGATATCTTCCTGTTAGAAATGCTGCCCTGTTCGGTGTGCAGATTGAATCTGGTGTCACATCATGCCGCAAGCGAGCTCCTTGTTCAGCCAACCGATCAATGTTTGGAGTCTTAATCGTGTCGTTATCAAAACAACCTACATCCCCGATTCCCAAGTCATCCACAAGAAATATAAGTATGTTTGGCTTGGCTGATGCTTCTTTCACCGCGAAAACTATAAGGACGAAGCTAATGAAGTTCTGCAACATAATTTTCGATGATTTAAAAGGAGTAGTTATGGTTCCTTTTAGAAGTTTGATTAAATCCGTGGGTAAAGCGACAAATGAACGACCGAATGACTCAGTCACGCTGTCACGCGATTTTCGTGATAGTTACATAATGCTATGAATGACGACATTGAAACATGAGCGAAGGCTAAGTTCCAGTTCTAAGTTGACAAAGAAAGGAAGAAATGAAAAGGCAGTTTATTTTTTTTTTAGAACTAAAGACAAACACACATTGAATGTAAAAGCTCTCACACACTAAATGACAGAGATGAAAGAAATCAGTTAAACTTTTAAAATCAGAACAATTATGATTAAAGAAAAACGAACAAAGACAATCTGATAAAGATGCAATACTATGCAGTTCGAATTTACGTCGAAATGCAAATCACAGTGCAAATTTCGTGCTTTCAAAGAGTTGAAAACAGTATAGAGTTATTCAAACAGTTTAAAATTAAGTAACCCTCGTGGTTGCGAATAAAATCGCACAAGTACGAAAAGGTAAAACAACACTTTCATTGCCTGTAAGTGAAACATGAGTGATCAGGATACTTGAAGGTGAACATTTCAAGCTGATAAAATATGTGTCCAAAAGTTAGCCACTGTTTAACAAACCGCTTCCTTAACAGTCCAATCTGAACATTTATTTTTGCGAACAGTCAAGAAGGCTGAAAGTTAGAAGTGAAAGGACATTTATTTGATTCAATCAACCCTTTTATTGAGAAAGCTTGAAACCCACTGGTTGGGTTAGACCTCGTGTAAACATGCCATCACGGTCAGCTCCTCTCATACTCCTGCTTATAATTACTGAAGCAGTGTGTATTCAAAGCTTAAGCTAATACCGCTTTTTCTTAC